CATGGAGTAGTTCATCATGAAGGAGTGAGGGGACTGTAGGCATGGAGTAGATCGCCATGAAGGAATGAGGGGGCTGCAGGCATGGAGTAGTTCCCTCATGGAGGAATGGGGGGGGGTGCAGGCATGGAGTAGTTCACTCATGGAGGAATGAGGGGGTGCAGGCATGGAGTAGTTCACTCATGGAGGAATGAGAGGGGCTGCAGGCATGGAGTAGTTCGTCATGGAGGAATGGGGGGTGCAGGCATGGAGTAATTCACTCATGGGAGAAAGGAGGGGTGCAGGCATGGAGTAGTTCACTCATGTTTCCAAAATTATTTTTTTCTGCACGCTCAAATAGTCCTTGTCTTATAAGTAGGGCTCAGATTCCTCTGCATCCTGACACCCCAGAAGTGACAAGGAGGATCATCTCTGTGGGTGACGTGGGGAATGGACAAGGTGCATCCTCTGTCAGGTGGAAGAGTGATGCCAAGGAAAACAGAGCTAACGCACAGCACCAAGAGATAGGCACAGCTTTGCGCAGGCTTCTGATTCGAAGGCCTTCAGTACTAGACAACCTAGATGCCACCATAGCACTTCTTGTGGTTGGGGGGATGTGTGAGAACCGGCTGACTTCAAGCACTGTCCTCAGGAGCCACTCACCCTGTTTCCAGACAGGGTCTCCAGCTTGGTCCTGGGACGACTGGCTCAGCTAGGTTCCCTCCTGTCTCCGTCTGCAACAGGAATCACAAAGGTTTGCCATGACACTGGCTTTTTACATGCATTCTGAGAAATCAAACTCAGGTCCCCCATGCGAGCCCTTGAGCATTTACTGTGGAATTTAACTTAATGTGAAAACGGAGATTCAACTTCATTACAGTTTCAAATAACTCCTTATTATGCTGGAAACAAAATACATAAACTTACAGCATAGCACCTAAAACAGCTGTCCAATCAATGCTATCAAGATGTGTGAACTCACTTTCAAATTCTATTAGCTATACAAGGCAATAAATGTCAGTAGCTAAAACTTCTAAGTTAAAACTCGGTGGCTGGAGCGATGGTCCAGCAATTAAGGGCACTTGTTGCTCTTGCAGAGGACCTGGGTTTGGTCACCAGTACCCACATGCTGGTACATAAGTGATGGGATTCAAGACTTTCTTTCAGCTTCTGAGGACGTCAGGCACACATATGATGCATAAACATACATGCAGGCAAAATACCCAGCCAAAATAAGTAAAAGTTCATTAACACACACACACACACACACACACACACACACACACACACCCCACTGGTTACCTGTCAATATGTTTCCTAAGAAACACCAATGTTGTCTGGTGCAGGTGGATGCACCCTGAGTCCTGGTTACCAAGGAAGCTGAGGCAAGAGGACTCCCTGAGCATCGGAGGCTAAGTCCAGCCTAGGCAACGCAGCAATGCTATTTCTTAAAGTTTATTCAAAAATAAAAAGAATTATGTCTCTGTCTCTCTCTGTGAGGGAGCACCTGTAAGCCCTTGTTTAGAAGTGGAATTCATGGGGCACGGCACACTGATACACCAAGCACATTTCGTGGTACTCCAGTCATGAAACGGTCCTTCCTATCTCACTCAGGACTCTTCTACATAATACAAACAACTAAAAATTACACAAGGGAGAAAGACTGCCCAAAGCCTGCAATGGCTAGCTTACCAACACGCTGTCCTACTCTCCTATCTTTTTTATAGAAATGTTCACATCCCTTCAGATTCTACTTGAGGCATTTTCTCAGACCTTACAATTTCTCAGTCTCTGCGGCAGAACATATTTTCTGCATGTTTGCTGTTTCCATCCACACTTCAGTCTTGAGCGACGTGGTGACTACACTTGCCTTTGCTGGACATCCATAAATTGCTTTATATTAACGTAGCCTAAAGACCCCCACAGACAGCACGATTAGTTGACAGCCACTAGATAGTCACTTGTACAGAACACATTTATCAAAAAGCCCTACAGCATCCCTAAAATTTAAACATCCCCTTCTTCACCAATCTATTTTTTAAAGATTTTTAATAACTGATTTTTATGTAAATTGGTGCTTTGCCTGCATGTGTGACTGTGTGATGGTGTGGGCTGCCATGCGGGTGCTGAGCCGAGTCCTCTGGAAGAGCATCCAGAGTTGTTAACCACTGAGCCATCTCTAGCCCTACTCGTCTGCTTGCTTTTCAATAACTCTGAATGACTCATTCTTGGCTCGCCTGAGGACCAAAGACAGCTCAGAGCTATTCTATTCAAGGAGGTTTTTAAAAAATAATAATAATAATAAAGATTTATTTATTATGTATACAACATTCTGCCTCCATGTATGCCTGCACACCAGAAGAGGGCACCTGATCTCACTATAGATGGCTGTGAACCACCATGTAGTTGCTGGGAAATGAACTCAGGACCTCTGGAAAAGCAGCCAGTACTCTTAACCTCTGAGCCATCTTTCTAGCCCTATTCAAGGAGTTTTGAAAATCTGTTAAATAGTTCTTGAGTAAGGAACACTATGTATTCTGAAAATGAGTCAGTACTCCAATTCCATGCTAAAATGCTAACCTATCACAACGACTCCAAATGATTCTCACTCTGAAAATGGCTTCTGACTTTCAAACAATAACGAAGGAGAAACCATGCTTTAAACAGAACAATCATCACAACTGTCCAGAAAGAGAGTAAGACGTCACCACACTACTACTGGGCGCCATAGCTCTTCCTAGATAAAGAAAATGAACTTCTTACACTGGGAAGATAGTTCGTTGATAGTGTTTACCATGCAGTTATGAGCACCTGAATTCAATGCCCACAACTGTCTAAAAGGAAGGCATGTCAATGTTCAACCACAATTCCAGCCAGTGAGTCTAGCCAAATCTGCAATTTCCAGGTCTAATGAGAGGCCCTGCCTAAAATAAGGTTACGAGCAACTGAGTCAAGCATTCATATTCACCCCTGGCCTACACATGGACACATAAACACATACTCCTCATGTATGCACATACAAACCTCCCATGTATGTATGTACATGTGTGTGTGTGTGTTAGGTATTTGATTAGGATGCATGAGGTTGTAGGTTCAATCACTGTTATTTTAAACAACCTATCCTAAAGACTTACTTACTTAATTACTTTATTAATCTAGTTACAAAACAAACAAACCTCTGAGGCTAGAGAGATGACTCCAGATGGGTCAGAGCACCGGCTGCCCTCCCACAAGTTCCCAGCCTAAGTCCAGCTCTAGGAGATCTGACTACCTCTGGGCTTCAAGAACAATACATTCATGTGTACATACCTAAATAGAAACATATACACATAAATAAAAATAAATTTATAAAAGCAACAGTAATGGAGCTGGAGAGATGGCTCAGCAGTTAAGAGCACTGGCTGCTCTTCCAGGACTCAGGTTCAATTCCCAGCACCCACATGGTGGCTCATAACTATCTGTAACTTCAGTTCCTGGGTATCGAACGCCCTCTTCTGGCCTCCACAGGTATTGAATGCCCATGGCACATAGACGTAGATGGAGACAAAACACCCATACACGTATATACATCAACAAACAAAACAACAATGACAGAGGACAGTGAGTCTCTTCTTCATAGAATTTAACGTAGAACCAGAAAAGAATTAAAGATCTTAGATGACAGAGGACAGCACAGAGGCTAAGCAGCAGCTGTTTACAACACACAGCCCAGAGCACACCTAGCAGCTGGGTGTGGTGGTTCTTTGGGAAGCTGAAGCAGGAGGATGGAGATTTCCAAGAACAACCCTTACATCAGAGTCTGACTCAAGAATTACATACAGACACGCACACCTTAGACTCCTCATACCCTGGTGTACTAAAATATTCTGAAGTAAGACAGACAGTGAAACCTAGAAGACATGTCTACCTGACAAAATTATGTCATGGCCTCTCTCACAAGTGACACTTTGCTTCAGTGGCAACTTGATTTTATTATGGAATAAATTTCCCTCTGAAAGAATAAATCTGTGAATATTTCCTTCCTTACCTGCATTTTAAAAGCTGGGTTCAGCTAACACAAATCACACACCACGGCAACTTATTTCTCTTAAGTAGCCATTCACCCACTTTCATAATCCAAATATGAGTTTCAGAAAAAAACTACAAACACTTAGTATGGCCCAAATGTCAACAGAAGTCAACAAAGCATGACTTTCCTTCTGAAGGGCAGGAAGTTTGTATGTGGAACAAGCTTTTCAGAAACTAGCTGCACTGTATTACACTGAAATGCTACCCTGTGCTGTGTCATATCTGAGTAACTTAGTACTCCTCCTGTATTACGACCGAGGAAAACTTATCCGCAGTTATTTAGATTAAAATGCTACAGACACCAGCAACATAATTTAATCCAACACATAAGTTCCGAATAAGCAGGCGCTACGGGCAAGTCCTTTTCATCCTGACAGCAGACTCCAGCCAGGGGCTGATCCACCTGTAGTCAGGGAATATGTTCATTCTGACAGCAGACTCCAGCCAGGGGCCGATTCACCTATAGTCAGAGAATATGTTCATTCTGACAGCAGACTCCAGCCAGGGGCCGATTCACCTATAGTCAGAGAATATGTTCATTCTGACAGCAGACTCCAGCCAGGGGCCGATTCACCTGTAGTCAGGGAATATGTGTGGCTCTGGAGCTGATCTGAAAACATAAACATCTGTGCTCCAGCACAGCCTGGGCAGGGCTAGGCTTCAGCGAACAGCAATGCAAGTTCGTGCACAGGGGTGGTAGCAGGGCTCACTTTATGGAAAGAAGTTCTCAAAGAGAACATGTCACATCCAGTGCCCATTTCCCTTCAAATTTTGTAACTTAAGTCAAGTTCCATGGAAATCTGGGGTGGATATTAGACTACTTTATCAGTGTTTCTAACATCAAATAAAAAATGTTATAATTTGAAATTTTACGACATATATTTTCTAACACAAATGCCACCAATCACAACAGATACAGGACATCACCTCCCACAGCTGAGCACAGACACAAAGACTCTGACATCAACCTCACTTTAATCACAGGTAGGACTGTACTTTGGAAACCCTGGTGCGTGATCAGTGCGTGTTCACGTGGAGGGTCCTGGAGAAGCGCACATCACTGCTCAGAAAAGCAGAAGATGACTTTGTACAAATACTTTGGAAAATCCTCAAAGTTACGTAAGTAGTACCAACACAATTTTAGTAGTTTGCACCTCAGGAGGCACTGAAGCAGGGGTTCTCAGGAATCTGGGTACTTCATAACGGCCTCCTGGCTCCCAACAGTCAGAGGCCGCGTCTTTGGAGTAGAGTTGGAGGCTCCCAGTCTGCTCAGTCAAGGGTTCCTGCCCTGCCGCCAGCAGGTTCATCGCTCTCTTTGTCCCAGTCCTTCATACTGGCTCCCATCATGAAATCATCTCGCAGAATCTTCCACCCTGGGCCCTCTTCTGATTTCGCTTCAGTCTGAGAAAATGTACAGAATCAAGATTTTCATATATCCATTTAAACATAAGGAAAAAATTGAAACTTATATACTTCAAAACAAGCTTTCCAATGTGTAGTTTTAAATGAGAGTAAACCAAGGTAACATAAAACTGATTTTATATAACTGATTTTATATAATATGCTCGTGTATATACAAATACAGAGTAAAGTGAAAAAATTTTATTTTACCAGTGAAACATGAAAGCAAAATAATGTAGAGTTGGGAAAAATGAAGTAAAATACAGACTTGGGAACAATTCTTAACCACTTGGACAACATTAATTAACCTCCAGAGATAATTTATTAGAAAATCCTTGGCAATTATTTTAACAGAAGTCTAACAAAGGTGTTTAACCCCAACTGCACTGTAACAGAGAAGAGGGTTGCAGGGTGTTCAAGGTGGTGCCACGTCCAGATTTTGTAAAAATGTGAACAAAATACCCCTTATTCTGGTCACGGTCTCACTACCTGACGCAAGCATGGAATCAGAGACTAAATAACATGCCAAGATTATGAATAACTGAAGCAGGCAACAAACTAAGTAGGCGATTCACTTCATCCTGACACAGGATTGACTACTTGGAGCTAAGGACACAAGCCTTCCTTTCACGGTAAAACAGCACCACCTTGTGGCACTAAGTAAGTAATGCAACACACTTCTCTGATAAACGTCCCTTGTCCAGCACCACTGTGGCAGCCAGTCTGTGCAAATCTGTCACATTTGGGGCCATATCCATGTAGCATTTTAAAAGAAAAAAAGACCCCAGAATGTTCGCAAGGTTTCACAAGCTAATTACCTAACTCTGCTGAAGCTCCCCATGACGTATCAAGGGGAAAAATGTCCTACTGCATCACTTCTAGATTTGTGTGATGAAAACTAAAACATGACTTGAACCAAGAGGCAAGGCATCATTCAGACTTGGCAGACGGGAACTGACTTCGGACTGGACAGGTATCAGACTGGCAAGTATCAGACACCCAGCTGCAGTGATCCCAGTGCAGAGAAGCAGAAACCCTGTGCTGCTTGGGGACACCATGCTGCAGCAGGAGGCAGACCTCTCTGGTGTGCAGCCAGGCCCTCTTACCCCAGGCTTTCTCTAGCCCACATTCTCCTTGCTGGTCTCCTTAAGAAATAGCTGCTCCTGAGAGGCACCTGGGACCAATAGCCACAACCAAGTTAATTACTCAAAGCTTTCAATTAAAGAGAAAAAAGGGATTTGAACTAGGGTCTCATACTACAACCCAAGTTATACTGTAGCCCAAGCTGGCCTCCAACTCATAGCAATTCTCCTGCCTTAGTGCTAGGATTACAAGCACAAGCCACCACTCTCTAGTTTCAATTCAATTTTTTAAATTTATCAACAACTTAGAATTATAAAACGCAGTGAAAAAACAAAGTGCTTGCTGATTTCGAGTTCCTGGTGTGTTACCCTATGAGAGTCAATAACAATAGACTGGTAACCCAGATAGTCTTGGGGGTTTCGAAATTGTGTTATTTTAAACAGACTTCATAGTCTGTAATTTGAATAACTAAAATTCAAGTTTAAAGAATAAAATACAGCAAGCTACAGGAACAGGCAACAAAAACTTAAATTCAGATTCACTTGGTTTTAAAGTGCCCATTAGAGATATGAAGGGTAACCAAGGCTGGCTTGAAGCTAAAACACACGATATGGGGAAGTGTGAGAAGATAACTCAAAAATCACATACAAAAGGAGTCAAATAAAAGAAAAAGAAAGGCAGAAACCAGTCCAGGAGGCTGCAGAACAGCAGTGCAAAGAGAAGATCAGAACGGAGGCTACAATCCGTGCTTTAGAGTCCAATGCTCCAACACATCATTCCTCAAGTGTAAGGAGGGAACGGGGCACAAAGGTACTTCCCTGCAGTCCTTGTCAGAAGGAACTCCAAAGGACAGAAACCAAAACAGGATGTCATCAGTGCAGCCAAGGAAGAAGAAAGTCTCCAGGCTCCAAGTGAAGGAAAGTTCTAGAATAACTTGACATCAGGCCTAAGGGATGCCTGCAGCAGTAACTTCAAGGGACAGAAGCATGGCAAAGATCCTATCATTCAGCCACCAGCCTTTCTGTCAGCACTGGACAAAGCCTGGAGGAGTCTTCACTAGTAAAAGGGAATGGAGTCAAGAGGCAAGAACCAGAAGATGCAGGACCCAACATGGGAGCAACTCCAGATGGCACAGGAAATGATTTAAATAGTAGAAAGGAAACCAGAGAACTACCTGAGAGATCCCGAAGGAGAATGAGGGCTTCCAGAGAGGACATCCCAGTAGGAACACAGGGAAGTATGGAGGCCCCTGGCTTAGAGGCTGCAGAGTGGGCAAAGGGCACCCTAACCCAGCTTTATATTAAAATAAATGAGCTTGGGCGGGGGAACGTGACTTCCAAAACTACATACACACAAAGAAACCTTAAAAGCTAAACCAAGTGAAAACACACCTGCACCACTTCTCCAGCTTCCAGGTCTCCTCTAGGCTCATCCTGCCAAGGATGATGGGATCTTTTAACCACGATTCCACCTCACTTTAACTTTATTCGCCGCACTGTCAAGTCAGCACGTGTGGCTGGATGCTTCATAGCACACTTCCAACTCCCTCGCCAGGGAGCAATCACCACTCTCATCTTATGCAAGGAAACTGAGGCTCCAGGACACGAAGCAGTTTAGTCAAGTCCTGGAGTTGATGGATAAGTCAGCCCTGGAGCACAGGAAAGACGCTCCCAAGTCCCCATCTCTGCACAATTCACAGGAATGCACTATAATAGTGCCATCTCTATCTAAGACGCTCTGTTCTACCACCCGTGACCACAGCAGCTGCACAGCAGAATCAATGCTAAAATACACAGGAAATGCCTGACTAGGTTTAAGTTCTTGAGGTGGGGTGTTGCAGGGGGATCCACATGGCTCGTGTATATGGCTGAGCTCAAACTTGACTATGTAAGGCAGGGATGCCCCTGAACATAGGACTGCTGCAATTACAGGCATGTGCCACCACACATGGCTTCTGACATTCTGGGACTAAAATCCAGACCTTTGTGTATACTGGTCAAGTACTCTGCCAGCTAAGCTACAGCCCCAGCCCCTGTTTATATTAACCTCTATACAAATTCCAATCTGAGCAAATTACATTTGCTCTTATGGATGTTCCATAAACAATCTTAGCACTGAGCACACTACTTGGAGTATCCACAATGAAAAGATAAACCCCGGATGATCACAAGTTAACACAAGAACAGGACCAGGCACAGGGTAGGACATGCCTGTCTATAATCCCTGGGAGTATGAATGAGGTCAGGGTAGGCTACAGTGAGACTCTTATCTCAAATAAACAAACAAAATAGCCACAGGAGAAAGGCTGAGGTGTGAAGCTATCAGAGGCTGGCAAGATGGCTTAGCAGGTAAGGGGAAATAAGATGATGGCTGCCAAGCCTGATGACCTGAGCTCAATCCCAGGCTCCACATGGTAGGAGAACTAACTGACCCTGCAAATTGTCTTCTGACCTCTACACATGTGCAGGGCATGTATATACAACTAGTAAATAAATCCATGTGAAAGATTCAACAAAGAGCTTGGTTTCTTTGTAATAAAGAAGTAGCAAAAATTTGATCTATTATTTTTAAGACAAGAACAAAAATCAAAGAGACTTCTGTACTTCCTTAAAGAAATGATCAATTCTTTAACTGGGTTTAGAGGCAACTGTAGTAAGATGGGGTTTTGCTGCTGTTAGAAACCAACAAACACCTTAAAGGGAAGGATTTACTCAACGATGGCCTCAGCTCATCATGGCTGACACCAAGGTAAAAATAACGGACTCTAGAGTCAGTCACATTACAGACGTCCAGCTGATTTAACCTTAGCAGGAGCTGCACACACTTTGTATTGCTGTGGACAAGCAATGCCAAGGAAGGGAAGGTTAACTAAGCTCATGGTTTGAGCCTGCATCCACAGTTGGTAGCTTCCATTGGATGGTGAGGTAGATCTCCACAGTGAGGCTGAAGAGCAGGATGGGAGTACAGGATGAAGAAAAAGAAAAGGGTATGGGGGTCTCAACAGCTCATTAAGGTCACAGCACCAGCAACCCAGGTATGGGGGTCTCAACAGCTCATGAAGGTCACGCCACCAGCAACCCAAGTATGGGGGTCTCAACAGCTCATGAAGGTCACGCCACCAGCAACCCAGTTCTCCTCAAGTAAGCTCAACTCTTAGAGGCTCCACCACTTTCTAAGAGCTCTACAGGGTGCAGTTCAAAGCTTTGACTTTGGACCTTTGGGGACAGAAGGTGGGATACAGTGCTGTAGTTTAGACCTCAAACGGCCAATTGTGATGGCATGGTGACACATGCCATGTTTCTAAACGCTGGAAAGCTAAAACAGCGAGATCACAAATTCAAAGCCAGCCTGAGCTGTAAAGGGAAAGTCCATCTCAAACAAGCAAACAAACAAATGTGTGCAGTTTCCACACTCAAGTAATGGATAAGCCCAAGAAACTAGACAGATATGATAAAGAACTAGAGATGGGAGAGTGAGTTAAAGCAACCTTTAACTCCAGTCCAAGTCAAATGTACAGAGCTCTCAAAGAAAATCCAATTCCGCTTTCAGAACTGTTCCTCCTGAAGCACAGGCTCTGCTCCAAGCTCGAGCCCACTGCACTGCAGCTACTGGGGCCCCTTTCTGTCCCCTCACCTGTCTCCTTCCTCAGGTCTGTTTGGTGACTTCTATCCCAAACCACTGCTAGCATGTCTAGTTCCATAGCACTGCGTCTCAGGTAATACACACTACTAATATCCCTCACCACTCAGTGTCTTAGAGTGATGGCTAAGTTCAAGTTCACCAGCATAACCAAAGACCAAACGAAGCATCAAGTGTGCCCTGGATACCTTCACACCAAACTAGGAGGCTGAAATACCTAACAGTCTCTGCCAACTGATCATAAAGTATTCAAGCACATCCCTATTTATAGTTACACA